TTGTTGTTGTTGTTGTTGTTGTTGTTGTTGTTGTTGTTGTTGTTGTTGTTGTTGTTGTTGTTGTTGTTGTTGTTCACTCGTCGTTGCTGCTTTGACTGCCGTGTTCTCACTCTGTGTGTATGTGTACAGGTGTTCAACGGGCGTGAGGTACCGCCACAACTGCTGTTTGTGCACCAGGGCCAGAAGAACATCAAGGAGCTCCACTGGCACCCGCAGGTACAACGCCAACCACTTGAGATCGTGATGATCACGCCTACTCTTTTTTGTTCTTGTCGTTGCCGTTGTTGCCAACTTGCATGGTGCGTTCTTGGCCCAGCTTCGCCCTTCTCACCACCATTTCGTTTTGTGTTGTTCATTCTCCCTCATCCCCAATCGTGTCTGCCTGCACCTCCGCCATCACCATCATCTACACAGATCCCTGGCATGCTCATCTCCACAGCCGAGTCTGGCTTCAACATCTTCAAGACCATCAGCACGGAGTAGTGCGGATCAAGAAACGGTCACATCTTCTCGCCACTGCTGCTACTGCTGCAACGGCTTCTACCACCACTACTTTGGTGTGCTCCTCACAGCTGCTTGTCCTCTTTTATCTCCCTTCTCCTCCTCGTCACTGCTGCTCGTTGATTCCCTGCCGCTTGCCCTCGCTCATGCCACCGTGTCTGTCTCAGTGTGGTGCTGTCGCTGTTACGCAACAGTTGGGCACGCTGCTAGCTGCACTGCATGGCCGGTTTGTGGCGCGTGTAGTGTTTTACCATCACCCCATGCCCTTTTGCTGCAAACATCAACCTTCATGCCTTCCTTTGATCGACAATTTGATAGTCCAGCCTCTTCTCTCCTCTTGTTCTTATTTGCCTCAACGTATTGTGTTTGTGGTTTGTTCGTGTGCTGCTTATGTTTGCTTGCAGCACCTGGTTTTGCTCGTTGTCTGTTCATACACCCTTGTCTGTGTGCGTTTGTGTCCGTGCATTGAATGGTACGAAGCGTTCTTATTGGCAGAGCAGTTAGGGAATGTGAAGACAAATCAAGACCACAAAGCAGGGCATTGTGAAGACACACACACACACATGAATGTGCACACGCACACACACTCGCGCGCGCGCGCAGTGGTGGTTCAGAGGAGGTCGCGAAGGCGGACGGGCCGACGTACCGCGTTGGATGAACCTTCATGGAACCTTTGCAACAGCAAGCACGCGCACGTATGCATGGTGGGGTGAGGTGGTGGGTGAGATTTACCAATCGCAGCTGGTAGTGGTGGTGGTGGGCATTCGCGCAATGCGGAAGCAGCGGCATCGGGACACAAGAACAAATCCTCATACTTGAACAGGACGAGCGACAGCTTCGACTTCTTCGCTTCAGCGGCACGCTGCTGCTGCGGGTCATCCTACACACACACACACACACACACACACACACACACACACACACACACACACACACACACACACACACACACACACACACACACACACACACACACACATGTCATGGCATTGCGTGGTCTCAACATGCGTTTGTGTTCAGCCATGCATGGCAGGGGTTGTTTGCATCCCATCACGAAATGTGGACTGCTCACCTCAATGACGCGACCAAAGAAGTCGCGTTTAACGCGCGCTTTGGCCTCAGGCTGCACAAGCACACACGCATACGCATGAATTGAGCAAATGTGGAGAGGGAACGGTGTAGGGGCGAAAGACTGCATGCACATGCGCCACAAATCGGTGTCCACGCACTCACCTTCACTTTCTTGTCAATGTCGAGGCCCATGCGAGCTTTCAAGAACGCATCCTTCTCTTCCTGTGTCTTTGGCTTCTGCAAACACACACGCACGCAACACACGCTTGCAGATGTGAGGGCAGGAACACGCTGAAGGATAACAACAACAACAACAACAGCAGCAGCAACAATGATGATGATGATGATGATGATGATGATGATGATGTGTGGTACACATTAAGTCGTGTGAACAACTTGCAATCTGCACATACGCACCGGTGGTGATTGTTTCTGCGCCTGGTGCTTGTTCTCTTTCACGTCAGATCCTGATTGCGTCGTCTTCGATGACACCGACGATGATGGCTGTGGTGATGCTGATGGTGCTGCTGCCATTGGCTGTGCACGCGACGCAATGATCGCAGACTGACGCCGCACAAACTCCGTAGCCAGCTCCCGTGCAACCAGCTGCCGTGATGTGTCGGCGTGGTTAGTGTGTCCAAGAAAGAAGGGGTAGTTTGTTAGGCAACAGCGGCGCTTGGAGTTGCGTGCACACATGTGCATGAGCACGTCCTCGTGTCTCTGTGTGCTTCTCTGTCTCTGTCTCTCTCTGTCTCTGTCTCTCTCTGTCTCTCTCTGTCTCTCTCTCTGTCTGTGCGTGGAGCGGGCGAATGACGGGCGGAAGCACAACAAGAGTGGTGTGATTGCGCACCTGTTTGACGATGGGCGGTAGCCCCGGCATTTGTCGCGGCTTTTCGTTCGACTGAAGTGAAACACATGTACAAGCACACACACACACACGCACACACACGCAATCAATCGTTGGTGAATGGGGATGGAGAAGAGCACGTACACCGCAAACGCGAGTCAATTCCATGCCTGCAAAAAAAAAAAAAAAAAAAAAAAAAAAAAAGCACGCACCTCTGAATGAATGGCCCAGGAAGGGCGGGAATCAAACTGGCGGTTGTGGAAAGACACAATCTCGTCCACACGCGGCTCCAAGCGAAGACCCATGCCCTGTGACAGTTGGCGAGGCGGGGTGAGACCAACGTGATGGTAATGATGATGATGGTGATGGTGGTGGTGATGATGGTGGTGATGATGATGATGATGATGATGATGATGGTGGTGGTGGTAAGGTTTGGATGGAAAGCGTGTTAACAGTTGGATGTCTTGTTCGCAAGCACAGACACACACTCCCAGACGTATACAACGCAGCACAGCACAACACAGCATAACACAACATAGCACAGCACAGCTCAGTGCGCACTCACGAGATCGCTGACGTCCTCGACATATTTGAGATTGTGCGTGGCCATCACGCCAACAATCTTGCTCACAACAGCACGATCGCTTGGTCTGCAGAGGGAAGAGAGGACACGTGCCATCATGTGCCATTGAGTGAGCGATGCAGCACGCGTGTGCATGTGCATGTGTATGCGTGTATGTGTGCGTGAGTGTCACACAATCACTCGGTAAGAGCTTCAGCGTCATTGCACAACACGTTGTACCCTCCCCCACCCTTCAACTCCTCATCCGCTCAATCCACCTCTCCTAACGACAACAACAACCCCACGCTAAGCCGCACCTGAGCACGGCTGCGTTTGAGATGCGAAGCTGTGGATTGATGATGTGCATGAGACGATGAATGGTCTCCACCGTAAACTCGCGTTCCCCCTGCCCGCGCCGCATGTGTGGCGACGCGTCGGCCAGCAGCTGCTGGATGGTTGACCGGTGCGTGCGCATAATCGCATCTGTCTCGTAAATCGCCTTTGGATATCGGATAAACGTGCGGCCTGCGCGCGTTGATGCGGTGTGTGTATGTAAGTGTGTGTGTAAGTGTAAGTGTAAGTTTAAGTGTGTGTGTGTAAGTGTAAGTGTAAGTGTGTGTGTGTGTAAGTGTAAGTGTGTGCGTGTGTTTGTGTATGTGTGTGTGCGTGCGGTTGTTGTATTTGCATTGTGTGTGTTTGAATTGCTTGTGTAAGCGATTGCGAAACCACTCACTCCCATGCTTCACCTGCGCTCGAGAGCCATGTCACCATCACCCCAACTCCACCTCTCCCCGGCATAATCATCAACATTAAACATGGCGTTGCGCATACTTGGAGAAGCAAAGCTGAGGTGGAACGCGGTGGGAGCGAAACTGCAGTAGCGAAGAAGCGTGTACTGCTGCTCTTGCTGGATGGCAAGTTGCATTTCTTGGAAAAAGTGCAACCAGTCGTGCACCAGCATGGCCTGTGGGCAAAACACGATGCGTGTTGCAGCTGTGAGCGCGTGGCGATGGAGGCCACAGAAGTGGCGAGCTGTGACAACCAGGTGGGGAGACACACACAAGCACGCACACGCGCACACGTGTCCACGCGCATGCACACAGTTACACACACACACACACGCACACACATGCACGAGCACGGCACCTTCTTGAAGTCTGGATCGAAGCTTGTTGTTCCCTTGATGCTGAGGTAGTTTTCAAACAGGCCAAAGATGATCTTTTCATATTCGCCATTTGCTTCAATCAGCGGAAGAATGCGCCCGATTTTGTGTCCGGCCGCGCGGCGCGCAGACATCGACAGCAACGACGATGATGACGACGACGACGAGGAGGAGGAGGAAAGGAGGGACCGTGGCCTGAATTGTGTGATGCACACGCACGCATGTCAGATGAGACAAGAGGTGCGGCAGTAGTTGGGTGGTGGTGGTGGTGACAACACGTACAACACGTTAGCAAATTAGCGGCACAATGTGTGCGCATGGGCCGTTCGCTGCACGGATGTATCACCTGCTGCGGTGCGAAGCGAGACGAAACACCTCCGTCCACACCGTCCGCACATTGATCACCTGGCCATGGGTGGGTAAGTTAGTGTGTGAGTGAGTGTGTGAGTGAGTGTGAGTGAAAGTGTGAGTGAGTGAGTGTGCGAGTCAGTGCGCGTATGTGAGTTTGAATGTATGTGTGAGTGTGTGTGTGACTTGTGCATTCGAGGTAGTGCCACCCTATCAGCACCACATACCTTATCCTTGCGTCCCACGGACGTGTTGCGAATGTCCTTGAGTGTCACGCGTTTTCGGTTCTGTGCCAGGAACTGCAGTGTGCTGATGCACGCGCGAATGTCGCCGTCCGTCAGCTCGCACAGCGTCGTCAGCACTTGCCGCTCTGGTGGTGATGATGGTCATGATGGTCATGATGGTCATGATGGTGATGATGGTCATGATGGTCATGATGTTGACGATGGTGGTGTGAGCATGTGAAAGGTCAGGCACATGGCGTTGCTTACACGTCAATGATGCACACA